CACTTTACGGAATTCGACTACGCCGATCGACATCGGAGAAAACTAAGACTGTTAACAGAATCGATCCAAGTCACTGCAAAAAATGTACGCTTTTAGTTCAACCAACTAAAAAAGAATGTGCTGAAGACGGCAGATAAAACAGTGGCAATTTATTTCTCAATTAATGGAGATCGGCCGACTGAAATTGCCCAATTCAAATAGCTAGACTCAACGGTTACCAACGAAAGTCCCTGCGATGCAAAAGTGAAGAGAACTGCTTTAGCTGAAGCAGCATTTAGAAGCCTGGCGAAAATTTGGTGTCAGTTAGTCTGGTGAGGACAGTTAGAATGGTGGCGCCAGCTGTCACCATTGTTCTGTACGGTCTAAAGACAATGATCCTGTAGAAAGAAGAAGAGTTTCGCCGAAATACTTTTCGGCAAAGGTGTCTGCACAGCCTCATGAGTACTTTTTGCATTACCGAGTAACGAACCAGAAAGTGCCTACTGTGAATAGTTATGAAACGTCACATCCGCCCTGCACAAGCAACGAACCGTGTGATCTAACAGAATCACTAGCAAAGGCACAACGTTGCTGGTTCATCAGATTATCCAGTGGGAACTGAGTGACGGAAGTCGCTAAATCGCAATCCATATCACATTTTAAAAGACACCTGTTGAAAAAATCGATAATCACCTAGATGCATCGCCTTTGTAGAAGCAGTAAAAATGCCTAAAACGGTACTCTTACCGATGCAGAACCCGAATGACGATGACATGCACCCGTGCGAGCACGTGCAAATGCACGCACAAGAGATGGATGCACCTGCAAAGCATTTTCGGATGCCATTCACCAATCAATAAAAAAGAACTTCGCTAGCAAAGTTCACACCTCACTGATTGTCTCAGCGAAAGATGTAGCCAAAGCGAAAGCTGATTTCAGAGAAAAGTTCCGCAAAACAATGAAATCGAATTTCCAGACGGCAAACAACAAATTCTGGAAGACCAATCTCCAGAATATGGAAAGAATGGAAGTCTACGAGTCTCGAAGGACAAGCCCGGACGCATTCTTGTAAAGGAAGAGGAAACACATCGGCGATGGAGAAAGTACTTCCAAAAACTTCTTAGCGCGACGGAAGAGCACGAAGGCTCATCTAAGCAGCACCGGGCAACGGATATTAATCTTTCAGTAGAGGAAATAACAAAAGCTGCAGAAAACTGCATAAGTGGAAAGGCTGGTGGCATCGATAAAATCTACTCTAAAATGCTTAACGCTTTAGGCGAAAAAGGCACGTTGTGGTAAACATGTGTCTGTCAAACAGCAGTGGCTACAAATAAGTTACCAGTGGACTGGAGGACGGGGTCGTGGCACCCCTGATCAGTAAAGGAGACCATCGGAAGTGCTCTAATTATCGACACATTGTTACTAAACCAAAAAAGTCGAAGCAAAGGTCGTAAAAACAGCTATTAAGGAATAACTGACTAAGATCTAAGAAGAGCAGTATGGTCACCGGCCAAACCGAAGCATCTCACCAGATCTATGCCTAACGCCAGATATCTGAGAAATCATAGTAGTTCGCTCGTCCAGTTTACACGTGCTTGCAAACCTTGAGAAAGCCTACGACCGGATCAAGCGCATGAAACCATGGGCGTATCTGCAAACATACGGTATTAATGGCCCGTTGTCATTAATCATCCAGTCACTATATGTTGATAGCACTTGCCGCGTCAGAGTAAACGGCGTTAAGTCAAGACTTTCGGCGTTAGCACTGTCAACTGTGCGCTCTGTCTCCTCTCCTGTTATACATGGACAGAATATTCAGAATCTGTCAGAATAAAAGGTGCATCAGGGCAAGAGATAGGAAGACGAGAAGGTACCCATATATGTAGGCGGCTTCGTCTGAAAATGATGTCCAGCGCTCCCTGTAAATATTCGCAACTGAATGTAAAGTAGAATGTCGGTATGCATGTAGACGTGTTTAAAATGAAAAATCTAGTACTCTCTCATTCTCCTGTCCGCTACATTCTGCACGCAAACGGAGAAGCAGTGGTTGAAAGATCGTAGGCATGGAGGTGGTGCTCACTGACGATGAAAAATGAGAGGAAAAGATCCACCAGCGAATTGGAATGGTCAGCAACGTTCTGCGTGAAATTGCCTGAACCGCTGTGACTTAGGCAGGGATGAGTATGCAGACAAAGCTGGATGCGTTCAAGTCAATCTTCATCGCCATGTTCATCTATGAGTCGTGAGTCATCATGGACATGAATCGTGGGTCATCACTGAAAAACTTCGATTCTGAATATAAATGGGTGAAATGGGTTATTTGAGATGAATCGCTGGGCTGGCGCCCCTCGACACAACGCGGAGTTCAGATCTCTTGAGGTACAGTCGTTGTTTCTCCAGATTTAGAAATCACTGTTGCGATGTTTCGAACACGTTGTGCGAACGCTTCTAGAAATGAAGGCGAAACGGCTGCCACTTGTTCACCCCCGACCGGCCGAAGACCCAGAAATCTGCCGAAGATGATCACGGGCAAGTGTCTTAACTAACTTTATTCCACACTAGGGTTATCTACTGCCGTAGGTCAAACGCTGGCACAAGGTCGGG